GCCCCTGAAGCCCTCCGCACCCCTGAAGCCTCCCGCACCCCTGAAGCCCCCCGTACCCCTGAAGCCCTCTGCACCCCTGAAGCATTCCACACCCCTGAAGCCCCCCGCACCCCTGAAGCCCCCCATACCCCTGAAGCCCTCCGCACCCCTGAAGCCTCCGCGCCCCTGAAGCCCCCCGCATCCCTGAAGCCCCCCGTGCCCCTGAAGCCCCCCGCATCCCTGAAGCATCCCACACCCCTGAAGCGCTGCCTGGACACGCCACGTTCCCAGGGCACCGTGCCAGCCGGGACGGTAGGGATGCTCAGCAGCAGCTACCCTGCATCTTCCTTCACAGGGCGTGGAGGCTGGGTGCAGAGCGAGAGGAAGGAGGCGGAGAGGCTGAGCCCCGGAGCCCCAGAGAGGCCGAGGCCGCAGGCTGAAGCACTGGCCCACACCGGCCATCCACCCATCTCAGGTAAGTCAAGAGAAAGTTCTGGAAGAAGTAACCCCATCTTCCTAAGCCAAAAAAAAAAAAAAGTGTTCATACCTGGCACCCAATACAAAGACTGCACCACAAAAAGACAGATCTAGAGTAACAGAAGAAACTATACAAGCTCTCAAAGGAACAGGGGTAATTCTGCCACTTTAGGGACAGAACAGATTTTGTCAATGGAACCAAAAAGAAAAAAAAATCCCAAACCCCAAACAAAACAAAGCTCCCAACCCCAAACCATGAGAGAGAAACACAAAATTACAACACCTGCTTGTGCTAGCCTAGGCCTTGAGCCTGGACTCTTGTTGCTTAGCTTTTTCACCCAATGCTAGCAGTGTTCTACCACTCGGGCCACGGCTCCTCTTCTGGCTTTTTGGTGGTTCATGGGAGATCAGAGTCTCACGGACTTTACTGCCCGGGGCTGGCTTTGAACTGTGATCCTCAGACCTCAGCCTCCTGAGTAGCTGGGGTGACAGGCGGGAGCCACCAGAGCCCTACTCATTTTTTTTTTTTAAAGGAAAAGATGGCACATCTTCCCCTCCCTCCCCTCCCCGCAGGACTTTCCAGAGGCTTCTGGACTGCTGGGTTTCTAAATTCCCTCTGCTCGGGGCTCACGGGCTCCCCCCCTTCCACGCCACATGGGCTGCCTTTTGCTTCTTTGCTTC